AGAAATTAGGAGAGTAGAGAATGTTAGAGGTTTCCCCTACCGTACATTTGTTTACATTTAGTTTTATTAAACTCTTTTGTTTAATATCCAAGATTAAAGATGTGATGACCCTTTTAGAGATGAAGCTCAGAGTATCAGAAATGTGCTTCCCATGTGGCTATTTAAAATGTTCTTAAATTACTATGCTTTAGTACTGATCTGGAGCTAGTGAGACAAACGTTAGAAGCTGCTTAGAGGTCTGAAATCGGTCACATAGATCATTCGTCACATCTCAGAGCTCCACCCTCAGAGGACTGACCTGTTATTCTGCATCTCACCTTGATCGATGCCCGGTTGTGCTACCCAACCAGCTAGCACATTATATAACCCGAAAGGCTTATACAATGAGTCATAAGCACCTACCACAGAGAAAGGTCAGCAATTTAAAAAACACCCAAAAGCTGAACCTCATATTTCCACAGAGAGATTGAAAAGTCCAAGTAAAATAAAGCCCAATGATTTCCTCTCCCTAATCACACTCTTAAACCCAGGTGTACGAATGGAGGTCTCATTCCACACTTGCTTAAGCATAGACTGTTTCTTCAGAAGCCTCACTGCTGATGTATCTTCTTCTGGACTCATGAATTCATCCTAAGCCTCCTACAGTCCCAAAGTTTCACAAGTAATGACAGTAACATTACATTGCTACTAAAGAGTTAGAACCCCATGGGACAGCTGCAGTGGCCTTTCCCAAGCAAAAGGGAAGCCCCAAGCATGCCAGACCTATTATCTGTGGAAAGGTGTATATCGCAACAAAATGGAAATGAAGGAGAGGACGTTCTCTTGTGTTTAACTTTACCAGGATATAAATCAGTCCAGTTCAGTTGCTCAGTCAACAACCTGCAAACGCATGAACTTATGCTTAGTTCAGTACAACTTCTCACCATGTTTGTCATTCGGGAGAGTGGTGTATAAAATACTTCTGCCTTCTTGCAAAAATTAGAATTTCCTGTGGTGGCATCTCTAGCACTATCCTTCCCAAAACTCCCTTCTTCTTCTCCATACTTAAAATCTCTTGATCCCCTCTCTCCATTTCTGAGTATTTTATTATGAGAATGTTAAATGCATAGAAGTAGAGAGGTAGCCATCACCCAGTTTGGGGACTCGACATACACCTTCTTATTATTAGACTCATGCTAGGCCTCGCTCCAAACAGGGCTTCAGTTTTCACCTCTCACCCCGACTGCTTCCCCTTTTTCTCTTTCTCATGCATAACACAAGCTCTAGCCACACCAATCTTCCTTCACTTCTCAGGTGCCCTATGACAGGGGTTCACAAACTCAAAAGCCCGCAGGACCCACACTGTAATAACCAAATTCCATACTCTCATATTCCCATACTCACTCCATGGGTGGAGTGACCACCATGGTGTAGAGGGGCAATGGCCTGCTGCAATCTCATTTGTCAAGAAAAGTTAAGAATCTTGATCTATTTTTAAAGAAAACTCTCTCTCGTTTTAAATAAAAAAGTTTTCCAATTTTTTCATAAACTGTAACTATGTGAAGTGATGACTGTGTTAATTAACTTTATTGTAGTAATCATTTCACAATATATACATGTATCAGATCATTATGTTGTATACATTAAGCTTACACAATGTTCTATGCCAATTATTTCTCAATAAAGCTGAGGGAGAAAAAAGGGAAAGTAAAACATGTTATATCTTTCCACTCTTGGGGAAACAAATGTTTTTTCATGAACACTTCAGGCCAAACCCAATAGATGACAGTGAGAAGTATTCAGCACCCAGGCCATCTGTAGCAGACTTGGTGCAATGCATCGCACCCCCTTGGCGCACCTGATTTCACCAAACACGCATGCACCTTGCCAGCATCCCTCATCAAACACGGGGTGCTACCCTTGGCTTTGTTGCCAAAAAATAATCTTTCGAGGAAGCCTCATTTGCGACCCAGAAAATCTGAACGTGGGGGTCATTCTCCCCAAGGGCACCTTCGACCAACAAGTAAAAGGAGTTGGTAGATCCAGGTCCCAGCATTCCTGTTCTCGGGGGGTACAATGCTGAGGCGCCTTCAAAATTTCCCCGTGGGTCTGAGCTCCAGTTGCCCGCAATGCAAACAGGCTCGTCATCACATCTTTCACTGGTCTCGCTTTCTCTACGTCCTCATTGTGTTTTCTGGAATCGCTTCCCAAGGAAACTTCCTGCACCAGGTCCTTCCTTGTCTCAGTTTGCTTTCAGGGAACCCCGTCGTCACTTGGATGGATGCTCTTACCTCCTGGTTTCACACATGCTGTTCCCTCAGTTCCACTCTTCACCTAATTCTCACCTGTTCTTCAAGACTCTGCTTAAAGATCATTTTCTCCGGAAGTCTTCTCCGACCTTTCCTTTCTAATGAAAGATCTTGTTGCTCTGTTTCCCCAGTCATGACACTGAACATACTTGTAAACTGTTAAGCTCCAAGAGGCTCCAGGAACCGCAGCATCCTTGCCCTCGCCTGCGTTGCCAGTACTATGCACAATGGCGGGCATAATTTGTGTTTCTAAAAATATTCTTACAATTCATGAAATTGTATGGGGAATAGTAAAGTCACAAAAACGAAGAACCTAATATTTTTCAGTTTTAACAATATGTTCGTTAAACCCTAATGACTTCATTCTCATTCTTATTTTAGAGGCAAGGAAACTGCAGCTCAGAAAACTGACTTGAGCTCACTGGACACTTTCTACCTAGCTACCTTAACACCTTGAAGCTTCGTGTCTGGCATTAAGGCAACTAACAAGAGTAGTAACTCAGTTCCTGAGGTTAATAATTTCCCAGTAGTTGTTCAACCCAGGCAAAGCTAGCCCTAGGGGATGAGAAAGAAAAGTAAGTCAACTAGACTTATCTAGAATTTCAGGAGTTGCCTTTTTAAAGTCCCTCAGGAACATTTAAAGAGCACAAATCTAAATCTACGAAAGACTTAAAACAAGTTTTTGTTGATTTAAATTTCAGATATTGTATTTTTTGGTCACTAAAAGTTCAATTTGGGTCTTTTTTATACTTTCATTTTTCTCATATGCTTATGCTTTCCTCTTCCCTCTTGAACACACAGAGAATGTTTATAATAGCTGTTTTCACATCCTTACCTATTAATTCTATCACCTATTTCACTTCTGAGTCTGGTTTTTCCTTTTTGTTTTTAATATAAGAAATTTTAAGATCAATTACTAAGATCTCTTTTTGTGATAATAGTCTTGAAAATTGCACTGTCATTAGTAGATTATCAAAAAATGAGATGTTTGGAAAAAGATCTAAACATATTTAGTTCAATAGCATTCAAGGTAATATGGAATTAGGGGTGATATGTAAGACAGAACAGAAAACATTAAGGGAAAGGAATAAATTTCTCATGTCACCGTAAACATCAGACACAAACCATAATTGACCATGCACTGACTTCTTTGTCTATTTCTAAAGAGAACGTTTAAAAGTTTAAGCCTGGATTAGACATTAGTGATTTCCACAATTGTGTTTCCACAATTTTTAAAAAAATATAAATAGCCTATACATTAAAATAAGAACCCAGATTTCCTTATAGAATTTTACATAAACAAAAAATTTTGTAAAGCGTTTCAATTTTAGAAGCACCATGCAGACAGCCTCTAAAAGGTATTAAAAAAAAGAAAAAAGAAAAAAAAGTGCACATGCAGCTTAAACTAAGAACCCAGATTTCCTTATAGAATTTTACATAAACGAAAAATTTTGTAAATCATTTTAATTTTAGAAGCAACATGCAGACAGCCTCTAAAAGGTATTAAAAAAAAAAAAAGAAAAAAGTGCACATGCAGCTTAAACTTTACTTGTTAAAGCATTTTGTGTAAATCTTGTTTTCTTCAAACTCTACCTGGAATCAGAATGGCTATCTCCATTACAGATTAGACAACTGAAGCTGCCAGATGAAACCAAGCCTTGAATTCAGAGGTTCAGATGAAATTGCCTGGTCAGCATTTTCATCAAGTTACAAAACGTAGCTGCCATGAGCAGAGGCATTTTGAGATTTTGGTCATTTCAATGTACCACTTAACCAGCCAAATTAAAAACTCATTTTATTAACTAACACTTAAAGTGGAATCTTACTTAAGCTAGAGTGAGTCAAGACTCACTCAAGGCTTATTTAGCACCTCTATATAGAAAAGGGTTTAGGTTTAAACAGTTTGAATTCCTAAAATGGGATCACAACTGGGTTCTTGAAGATTATTCTCCTGAAACAGATCCTGCTAAGTAATGTGCCTTTCCCTCACAGAATGTGGACTCCAATTGCTTGGAGCTTAACTAAATTGCAACCGATGAGCCATCTACCTTCCCCCGAAACATGTACAAAACACCACCCCAAATAGTCATTCTAAGTATCTTCCTCATTGAATGGATGTGGAAGGGACTTGTCTGAGTCTTATTGTGTGAGGAACTGTACTGGAGGCTTTCTCATTTTAGCAAGGTATAGAATATCATTGTTTTATAGGTAAGGAACTTGAATTCCAGAGAGGTTAAACCGTAACTGGCCTAGTGAAAGAGCTGGGACTCAAACCTAGAATTGATTCTAAAGGCCACTTTGTAGGAAGAAGATACCATATAGACAGATTTAAAATCTTAAGAATAAGCTAATGTATCAAATACAATGTTCAAAGCCTGAAAAAAAAGTTTACCTGTTAACACTTTGGGAATGAGTGTGGCTTTCCTTTCCATAATTTCCTAGGTTTAGGGTTTTAAATTGAAACATACCACAGATAGTGCACAAATCATAAGCATAGAGCTCAAATGAATTTTTTAAAACTCAATATATCTACTCAATAACCAGCATCTGATGAAGAACAGCAGCAGCCCATTTTGTGAACTCTTCTTAAGTTTACTAAGGCAGCCTTCAGTACTTAGAATCTAAGCTAGATGTCTATCAGAAGCAAGAGGGAAACAATGTTCATTTTCCCAAAGACCAGAAAGAAAGAGAAAATGTTTAAGGCTTAAGAAGTACATTTTAAAAAATTATCTTTATTTAGGTTTCTGATTCAGCACATGTATCAAAGACTAATCAACATAAAGAAGTAAATAAGACATTAATTGGAAGTCTTACATCTCTCTAAACTCTGACCAAGAATGTCAAGATTGCCACTATTACCAGAACTCCAATCTAGTCAAGTTGTAGACAAGCTATCATGAACAACATACACTGTGCATGGGTATGCAGAGGCAAAAGACATGCTAGCACTTGGTTCTCCTCTTGTTGACGTCTTTCTGCTTGACAGTTCACTTTTGCTTTCCATGCTAAATTCCAAATAAAGTCCAAAGAAGGCTCAGGGTCAACCTGATCAAATAATCTTCTGGAGGAATGCATTCTTAAACTGTTGTGCCTGAAACTTTGTTTTTGCCAGGATGAAGTTCAGATCGAGATATACAATCTAGATGACGGTGCAGACTAAGTCAAGAACTAAAGTTGAGCAGTAACCCGAGTTAAGGCATGAATGCACACACGCACACACACAGCACCCACAGCTTTCATGAACATAGGATTCCTACGATTGCCTAATGAGAGGCAACCAGGGATTGGCAGTTAGCCACAAACTGCTGAGCATTCTGGAAAATGCTCCCCATAATGTTATGCTAACAGCTGTGTATGTTAAAAAATAACAACTAAGAGACAAAAAGAAAAAAACTAGAAACAAAAACCATTTAAAATCCCCTTAATCTCTTACAGTGGCTCTTGAGCATGGAACTCATATAGCAGCGTCAATGGCGGCTCTTGAATAATTTGGAAATTAAAGGTTGTTTCACTCAGTATTTCTTTGGTAGTCATCACTACAAAATTTTCAGTGTTGGTTACCTATAAGACAAGTTCTAGACAGAAGATCGAGTTACACAGAAATATTTCTTCTGTACTGATTAAGATGAAAATATTGAGCTCTCGAAGCACAAGTTACTACGCTTTTTTCTTGTCTTATCAGGCATCTTCTACAAGCAAGGCGTCGTGCAGGAAAAACTCCTGTCTGCTTATCTGCTTAAAGTGTGATACATGTTCTATTTTCCTATAATTAAACAGTTAATAAAAATTCACACTATCAATTATTTCTGGTCAAATCGGTTAGAAGCCAATTACTAAGGGACTGCAGCACTTGGTGTCAAAGCCACATTCTGGTCACACATTCATTCCATGGTTGTGGTATCTCAGGAGCTCAAAATCTAAAACTCCTTTCAATCAACAAAGGACAGAGTTAAATGAAATCTTAAATGCTTCCACCACCTGCTAAATTTCTGGAATTGTCTAGAATGCCAGCATGCTTAATGAAAGAAAGCAGTTCAGAGCCCAGAGAGGTGTCAGGTATTAGGTTAATTTGGTTTCATGTAAAAGGCATGGTAATCTGGCAACAGAATACTTATCCTATTAGCAGCACAGTGGTAGCCAAGGGTCTCTGTCAACAAGACAGGAAAATGAAGCTACTGAAGCTACTATTGCTCCCGCCTGCCTTCGGGATGGCTACTGGTTTTACAAAGGCTTTCTGGGAGTCAGGCCAGGGTTACCCTGGGCGAGTGGTCAACAGGAATGGCAGTAACCATGTTCGGCGCCCCGTGAGAAATGCCCAAGGTAAGGCAGCTTCCCACTGGTGAGGGGACTCCTGCCTTTCCGGGCTCAGGGTCGGAATCTGATGGGTCCCTGGTGGCTAAACAATCGCCAGGAAATTGTCTTAGCAGGTACTGCCCAAGTGTGACAAGCTCCAGACGGGGTCATAAAACACTTTAAAAGGATAAGAAACAGCATACATTCAAAACAGTAGTGTTTGTTCTGTCAATTCTGAATGTCTGCAGGGAGAGGAAGTTAGATTTATCTTGAAAAAGTGCTGTTTGAAGGAACCATTTTATTTTTAAATGAAATGACTAGTCTAGGAGACTCAGCACTACATTTCGGCAGGAGGTCTGGACGTCAAGAACTTTGACTCTAAAAGGCATTTATCAGGGACTGTTTGCTCACTCCAAGTGCTTTTTCAACTACCATATGGCAACGTTCTGACTTTTGTGCTTTCGGGAGGTAAACTGACAGGAAGCAGAGGGAAGATCATTAGATTATGGACTTTCTTGTTTTGGTGCAAGACACTGTCTAACAGCACAGAAATCTATAACCTTGTAAAAGATGCTTGTAAACATATACCATATCCTCCTATAAGAAAAACCGAGAACTGTACCGTGAAGGCAAATTTTGTTTGCCTACTCTCAGAATTCCTCGGAGTAGCAATGTACCAAGAGGGGCAGTGAGCCGTCGGCGAAATCCCCGGGTTTGGTCTGACCCCATCTGATCATATCAAAAATCTAAAGCTTCAATAATATGTGAAACTTCTCCCCCTACTTGAGAACTGTACTATTGATTATGTATATTACACACACGTTATAAATAAAATTTACACAAACGTACGATTTCTTCCAAACAATTGAGGACTGGAGTTCTCAGTTTAGGGGGTAGAAGTAGAAAGAAGTGAAAAATCCTATTGTTGCTTTTACTCTCAAGTTCTTAAAATGCTAGTCAAACACTATTATCCAACAAGACTTTTTTTTTTTTCCTTTCTGTAACTCTTAAATATGCATTTGAAGGCAAAAATGGAGGTTTCTATACTGTACAATATTAAATATCTACAATGTCATGGTTCCTTATTTTTAGGAGTGTGTTCAATAAAGAGCTAGCTATTTGAGATGGTTGTCACAAAACATGGACTCTTAGAAATTACTGATAAATTAATTTTCAGTTCTCTGATTATATCCAACAGATACACATTCTCATCATAAAATATACATTCTCTAGTAAGTTATTTTCGTCCACAGTATATATAAATATGCAAACACAGGTGGTAAGATCACTTTACTACCAAAGTACAAAAACGGTAACTGCTGAAAAGCAAAATTAAGATGTTGCGAGTATTAAGAAATGAGTGACTCACAGTGTTCCACTTCAGAGTGAAACCAAATGATTTATTTGTGCTAAATGAATGGAAATAATATATTCAGAATATACTTCTTTGTACACACTGCACTTGCTTATACTGGGCGAAATAAGCAGTCATCAATGCTAATGTGCTACACCTCTTCTCTTTTCTGCCAAGCAATAAAGTATTTTGTGGCCATTATGCCAAGATAGTCCTATAACGTTCATTTCAAATAGTATTTTCTAATAATTTTGCACCTTTAAAATATTTGTTCAAACTCTATTTTAGGGGAACACAAAGAATGGGAAGGGGAAATAGCTGTTTTTGTTATAATCGTCACATTGCCTTCTGCAGCAGAAATCAAATAGCATGTTCTAACCAGCCATCGCAACCACTGGTGGGGAGGTCAACATTTATGGACTCATGTTAGAAAGGGCCAGTTTGGGTAGATTAACATTAAGGATAAAGAAAGAATCACACCTTAATACACAATAATTATCCATCCCATGTAGGTGGAAAAGGTACAGCCATGTGATCCATTACTGTAGGCTATCTTTTGTACAAGAGACATGGATTTTGATATATACTGAAAATAACCTTATAAAAAGTGTATCTGTAGAAAGCTCTATTAAACAGTATATTGTCTTGGGCACTGATCCATCTAACTTTCCATTCTACCCTGAAAGCTAGATTTTCAAAGGTCTGAATTGTAGTGCTGAATTATTGGTATGTTTGGTAAACACCATTATGAGGGTGGGGTGGTAATAACAGCTCAGTAATTTTCTGCAAATTCATGGGAAAAAAATATAAAAAAGATATCCCTTTTTATTTTACAAACCTAAAAGCCAAAAAAATGAAGCTCTGGGGCCAAGCGAAAAACTGCACACTGCTGCCGAATTACCAATATTGAATAGCAACTGTCCCAGCCAGGGAATGGACGTACATGTAGATTCAAGTAAAACACTGATGGAAAAAGTCGTCTGTTTAGTGTTGTAACCCACAACACTGGCTGCGTTTCCGACAAACATTTACAACACAATTAATAGTGAAGCCTAGATAACCTCAGTGCAAATAAGTCAGATCCAAATATGCCGGGGAAGGAAGGAAGCCTTTGGCGTTGAGTAGACGGCTCCACTGTACGAGTCCCAACGTGAGATTCAGACTAAGCACATGCATTAAGGCTGGGAGGGGGGGTGCACCGAATGCTGAGAAGGGGCGGGCTGCGAGGCAGCTGCTGAGGGCACCGCGGGCTGCATGGGCGGCGGAGGCGGAGGCGGCGGCGGCTGGACTGGGGTCTGTGTGTTGGGAGACGGGGGCGGTGTGGGCCGTTTGAATTTGTCAGGACTGTTGCTTCTCCGTGGTGAAGGCCTCTGCAGAGAGGACAGGACCAGTAAGTAAGT